TGTAATGAAAAGTACTTGTTATTGTATTATCATATTAATTTTCGATCTATGTGCTTGCTAATAAACCGTAAATCAATAAAAACATGACACACGTATAATAAGTAATCTAAACACATTTTGATTGCCGACTTGGCCACATATGCAGATGTGGGATGATGTGGCTCAAAAAATAATCCAAAAAAAATATCAATTGTTTAAGAATTTTGGTACAGATCCGATCGTCACCAATTTCTCTTCCTTTTACCAACTAATAATTTAATACAATAATGCTATCGTTTGTTAAAAAAAATAAATCCAAATTACAAACCACAAAGCCATCTTGGTTTTGTGTCTCAGGCAATTTTAGGGCGACTCGGACAGCATATCACCCCTAAAGTTAGAAAATCCGTATGCACTACAAAAAAAAAAACCAATAATAATCCACATTCGATTCACAAAATACCCCTATTCTTCATATTTCACTGGAATTCACCCTTTAAAATATAGGAAAACTTAATGAAAATAACTTGAAAAATTTAAGTTTTAATGAAAAAGACAAAATAAAAAGTAAAGTGAATAATATCAGAATTGACTTTTTAGTATAAAAGTGTGATTTTTTCGTTAAAATGAACAGTACTAGGCGTTTTTCGTTAAAGTTCCCTTAAAATATTCAAATTCCCAAGCCATTTTAGCCAACTACCCGTTCCTATCCATCCGAACGCGGCAAAACCAAACCTATCACGCTAAACATTTTCCCTCCCTTTCCCTTCCATTTCCCAGCAACCAAACAGGTCTGAAACCCGCAACGCCCGCCCGCACCGCCCCTCCCCCCTCCCCACCCCCCCCCCCAAAAAACAAACAAAAAAAAACAAAAACAACAAAAATTAGGGAAATTCTCCACATTCAGGGGGCCAGTGCGGCAACCAGATCGGCGCCAAGTTATGGGAAGTGATTTGTGACGAGCACGGTATCGACAGCACCCGAAAGTACAACGGCGACTCCAAGCTCCAGCTCGAGCGAATCAATGTCTATTACAACGAGGCCAACGCCGGAAGGTACGTTCCATGCGCCGTGCTCATGGATCTGGAGCCCGGGACAATGGACGCAGTCAGATTTGGCCCATTTGGGCAGGTTTTCAGACCCAATAACTTCGTGTTCGGGCAGTCCGGGGCAGGGAACAATTGGGCAAAGGGGCATCATAAGGAGGGCGCCGAGCTTATCGATTCCATGCTCGATGTGGTGCGAAAAAAGGCTGAGCATTGCGATTGCTTGCAGGGTATGGTGAAATTTTAAAAAAGAATTTGGGTTCGAATTATAATTATTATTATTATTATTATTATTATTATTATTATTATTATTATTTTTTTTTTTTTGGGATTTGATCGTGCTTTTGTTTGAAATTTGTTAGACAATAGAATCCTAATTGGAGTCTAGATATGATTGTAATCCTAATTGTAGTTGTATTCCTAACTTGTAGGGATAATACCTTGCTGAGCAAGGAATGTAATTGTATATATTTCTTATTCACGTATCATTGAAATATATTTTCGGGTCGGGGTGTGTCAGGGCTTGGTTTCGAAGGCGATGATTGGTGTGGGTAAGCGACGTGGCAACCTTTATTACCTTGTGGCCCTTGCCTCCTCTATCCCATCCCATCACCCCATCTGCAACGTCATCGACATCCTGTCCTCCCTATGGCATAGCACCTTGGTCACCCTTCCCCTCCTCGTTTACAAGCTTTAGCTTCTAGTTTTTAAAATTGTTCTTTTGATTTTAACCATGTTTGTGATGTTTGTCCTTTGGCGAAACAAACTTGTCAACCTTTTGGTTTAAGTTCAATTTCAACGATAGTCAATCTTCCCTCTCTGGAGCTCATTGTATTTAACAATTGTGGATGATTTTTCTCGCTTTACGTGGATCTTTCTCATGAAACATAAATCAGATACTCAACAATTAATCAAGGATTTTTTTGCTTATGTCAATACCCTATTCCATACTAAAATCCAATGCATTCATACTAACAATGGCGACGAATTTCTTTCTCTTCGTCACTTTTTCTCAGATAATGGGGTCTTGTTTCAAACTTCTTGTGTTTATACCCCTCAACAAAATGGCGTTGTTGAACGCAAACATAGGCACCTCTTAGAAACCGCACGCGCATTTCACTTCCAGTCACAACTTCCTCTCAAATTTTCGGGTGAATGTGTTCTTATCGCTGTTTATCTAATCAATCGTCTCCCTACCCGTCTTCTCCATAATAAATCTCCCTTTGAGGTCCTCCATAACAAACCCCCAACCTATGATCACTTCCGCGTTTTTGGTTGTCTCGCCTATGCCACCTCTATCATTCCACCCACTAAAATTTCCCTTCGGGCTCATCGTTGCATCTTTCTTGGTTACCCTCACGGCCAAAAGGCATACAAACTATATGACCTAGAAACTCACCGCACCTTCACAAAGTAGGGATGTAATCTTCCATGAAGATTCTTTCCCTTATGCCCTTAAATCCACCCCTACCCCATCCCTCATGCCTACCCTGCCTATTCCTTCTCTTATGGACCTTTCCTATCCACCACCTCCTATCACTACGCCACCTTCATCTCATGCCACCTCATGCCACCTTTACATCCATTGCTCTATCCCCTGAAGGTATTGATTATCATGACACTTTTTCTTCTACTGCTAAGATGATTACAATGCGCTGTCTTCTTGCTCTTGCTGCTAGTCAGTCTTGGTCTCTTCATTAGCTCAATGTTAATAATGCTTTTTTGCACGATGACTTACAAGAGGAAATTTATATGTCTCCTCCTCTTGGTATTCGGCGACAGGGGGAGAATCTTGTGTGTCACATTCACAAATCTCTTTATGGTCTCAAGCAAGCTTCTCGCTAATGGTTTGCCAAATTCACTACTAACATTCTTTCTGCTGGTTTTCAACAATCAAAAGTAGACTATTCATTGTTCACCAGAAAGTTCGGTGCTTATTTTACAACCTTACTCTTTTATGTGGATAATATTGTGATTACAGGCAACGACGTCAGTGCCATTGATTCTCTGAAGTGTTTTCTCTGTGATCATTTTAGGATAAAAGACCTTGGTGACTTAAAATACTTTTTGGGTATTGAGGTCTCTCGATCTCAACGTGGGATTTATATTTCACAGCGTAAGTATGCATTATAAATTCTCAAGGATTATGGTTTTTTGGGAGCACGATCCATTGCTTTCCCTATGGATGATAAAAAATTATCTGATTAAGGAGAACTTCTCAAGGATCCTGAAAAGTATTGGCGCTTAGTAGGACATTTGATTTATCTTACCATAACTCGGCCATATATCACATATTCTGCCCATGTTTTGAGTCGGTTTATGCACGAGCCACGTGTACCTCATATGGATGCTACGCTTCGTGTTGTTCGTTATTTGAAATCTACTACAAGTCAAGGCTTATTATTCCGTTCTAACAACTTGACCAAGTTAGCTGCATTTTGTGACTCTAACTGGGCATGTTGTCCTATCACTTACCATTCGACTACTGGGTATTTTGTATTCTTGGAAAATTCTTTGATTTCATGGCGAACAAAGTGACAGAAAACTGTGTCACTTTCTTCAGTTGAGGTAGAATATAGGGCTATGGCACGTGCTTGTTGTGAGTTAGTTTGGCTTCAATTTTTGTTGAAGGATTTGAACATTCCTTTAAATGGTCATTCCGTTTTATTTTGTGATAATCAAACAACATTACATATAGCCGCTAAGGATTGTCACTTTATATTCAATAAGATTGCAGATAGCACTATAGCAACACAGTATGTTGGTACGGCACACCAATTGACGGATTTGTTCACTAAGCCTCTTGGGAAGGACACGTTTTTGACTTTGATACGCAAGTTGGGTGTTCTTGACATTCACTCTCCAACTTGAGGGGGAGTGTTAGACAATAGAATGCTAAATGGAGTGTAGGTATGATTGTAATCCTAATTGTATTTGTATTTCTAACTTGTAGGGATAATACCTTCCTGAGCAAGGAATGTAATTGTATATATTTCTTATTCACGTATCAATGAAATATACTTTTACCCCATATATCTTTTTCTACAAAGTTGAATCTCAATTGGGTTTGTAAGGATGTTTTCTCCCATTTTGATAGTAAGTGTTTTGAATTTTGCAATTACAGTATCTTTCTTACCAAATTGTGTTTCTTTTCGGTTTAGAATTTCAATGGCTGATTGACGTGAATGAAATGATTCAGCTTTGTAATGTTGACCATGTGTTTTGAACAGGATTCCAAGTATGTCATTCTTTGGGTGGTGGCACTGGCTCTGGCATGGGAACTCTTCTTATTTCCAAGATCCGGGAGGAGTATCCGGATCGGATGATGTTGACATTCTCTGTCTTCCCGTCTCCAAAGGTGTCTGATACGGTTGTGGAACCATACAATGCCACCCTTTCCATCCATCAGCTTGTCGAAAATGCTGATGAATGTATGGTTTTGGACAATGAGGCTCTGTATGACATCTGCTTTCGTACCCTCAATCCATCCAACCCTACTTGTAAGTCCAAATCTTGATAACGGTGGCTGATAATGACAATGATTTTAGAGTGTATAATGGTGTTTTCTGTTTGATTTTATCTTAAGTTCAAAGGGATTCTGATAAATTAGCTTACGTCATAAATTAAGTGCTTGTTCTTGTGAATTCTTATGAGATTTTGAGAAGGAATGTAATGTGATCCTCGTAACATATTTCTTTGCACGACTAATGCAGTTGGGGATCTTAATCATCTCATCTCTGCTACCATGAGCGGTGTCACATGTTGTCTTCGGTTCCCTGGACAGTTGAACTCTGACCTACGGAAGCTTGCAGTTAACCTTATCCCATTCCCGCGGTTGCACTTCTTTATGGTTGGGTTTGCACCCCTAACTTCAAGAGGATCGCAGCAGTACTGTGCTCTGTCTGTGCCCGAATTGACCCAGCAGATGTGTGATGCCAAAAACATGATGTGTGCCGCTGACCCACACCATGGACGTTACCTTACTGTGTCTGCCATGTTCCGTGCTAAGATGAGCACCAAAGAAGTTGATGAACAGATGATTAACGTCCAGAACAAGAACTCCTCATATTTTGTTGAGTGGATTCCCAATAATGTTAAGTCCAGCGTGTGTGACATCCCACCCAAGGGTCTAAAGATGGCAACCACAGCTATGTTCAGGCGAAAGGCTTTCTTGCATTGGTACACAGGTGAAGGAATGGATGAGATGGAGTTCACCGAGGCCGAGAGTAACATAAACGATCTAGTTGCTGAGTACCAACAATACCAGGATGCAATTATCGAAGAGGAGTACGAAGAGGAGGAAGAGGAGGTTGGTGCTTGATGCATCGTGTTATCGTCATAGTTTCTCAGTTTGTGTAAAATCGTTATGTCTGTTGGCTTAATTCGAATGAGTGATTGTCTGGTGCGAACTAGTCCATTCCATTTTTGTTCCATCTGTTTTTTAGTAGGGAAAAATATATCAGAGAGGAAAAATATATTAGAGAAAGAAGGGAGGAAGAGAGGGAGGAAGAGTTTAGTTTAGTTTATTAAAACTAGCAAATGAGCACATACTGTCTGTGTGAACAATCGCCCATCTCCTCCCACGTTATCTTCAAGTGCAACCACTTCAGTTCATTCAAATTATCCAAAAAACATCTTGATTTCACTTACGTGTATGAAAAAAATAATAGAGAGATAATTTCTCTTATTAAGTGCACATTTTTTATCTTACGTAAATATTTTGATATAAAATTACTATTTTGCCCTTCTTATGTAAATATTGTGTATCAAAAGTAAGGGCAAAATAAGGAAAAATGGGAAAAAGTTCAAAAGATACAAATTTACTATTTTGCCCTCCTCATGTCAACATTGTGTATTCAAAAGTGAGGGCAAAATTGGAAGAAAAGGGGGCAAAAAGTTGACAAGCCCTCTTCTCTTAATGGAATAGATAGATAAGTCTACTTCTTAAGTTTAGAATTATTTTATTATCAATAATTGTCTTTTTAATGATAAGATTTATTATAAAAGTTAAATATCTTCCTAATTATCTCTTTAATTATTTCTTCTTAATTCTTTTGTTTTGTTATTTCCTATTCTTCTTCCTGCTCTAAACCCTATTTATCATTTTATTCTTAATTTTTATAATCAACCTATATCACAGGGTAATTGTATTTATCTACTAAGACATTTTTTTTAAATTTTTTATAATCATCTTGTATCACAAATTGATGTGTCTTGCTTGTAGGTATATTATGCTTTTGTACCTTTTAGGTAGGTTTCATATCTCACTTATATGTATAATAGACATTCACATATTTGTTACTTGAGTTAGCGTCGTATGTTTCAGATGGATTTGTGTTAGTATATTAGTTTTTTGTTAGAAGATTTTAAGAATTTATTGGAATTAAAAGATGCATAAAATTTGAAAGATTTTAATTCATTTCTTATATTTTTTTTTAAAAAAAAAAAGAAAAAAAATAAATAAAGAGAAGATGATATTAGCTAATAACCATGTTAATTTTTAGATTCAGATCCCCCTAAAAAAAATATAAAGAATAACACAATTTTTTTTATTATTACTGTTTACAATTGTCTTCATGTGCAATTTGTAGTATATTCATAAAAGCTATGCAATTTATAGTTTTTATTTAATTATTGTATATCACATACACTGCCTTTCATCTGTCATTTCTTTTCATATTTCCATCTTTCTTATTATCTGTTTTCAGTTTAAAACAAACAACAAACAACAAAAGCACAAACATAAACACCGCTGATTTTCCTATAAATTGAAGCAATTAATGTATCAATATCAAGGCATATAATAATTATAAGTTAATTAGTTCTTAATTCCAAATAAAACGAAATTTAGTTCTTAATTGTTTTATATATGAGTAATGCAAGCTTCTATATATAAACTTTGACCTGGCAATTCTTAATTTCTTAACATATACGGAAAGTTATAATTTCAATGCCGGCAACGATCGATGCCACCACCTGAATAAAACGATGTAATAGAACGATGTAATAGATGACAAGCTTTGAGTTAAAACAAAAAGATTTTCACACACGGTTAGAAGCCAGACTTTTTCAGTGCACAAACAATACGAACTCCTACTCCTACTCTCTCAGCTTCTTTTGTTGGCATTCCTTGCCATATCTTCTTCCATTGCTTTGGCATCTGACCCAAGTTCTCTTCAGGATTTCTGTGTCGCCGATAAAGCCTCAGGTACCTAAGCTAAAATCATACTTATATTTGAACATGTGTGTACATAATATCAGTCAGCTAGCTAGTAGGAATTATATTAGTTTCTAATGTATTTTTTCCATCATGATTTCAGTATCCGTGAATGGTTTTGCGTGCAAGGACTCCAAACTCGTCGATGCCAATGACTTCTTCTTCAGCGGACTTCACCTACCGGGCAACACATCCAACCCAGTTGGCTCACGGGTGACCCCTGTTAATGTAGTCCAAATTCCAGGACTTAATACTCTTGGTATCTCCGTGGTGCGTATTGATTATGCCCCATGGGGTACTAATCCTCCACACACGCATCCTCGCGCTGCTGAAATCTTGACAGTTCTGGAAGGGAGCCTCCAAGTGGGTATTATCACTTCCAACCCTGAAAACCGTCATATCACCAAGGTGCTTCAGAAGGGTGATGTGTTTGTATTCCCAGTAGGTCTTGTTCATTACCAACACAATGTTGGAAATAGTAATGCAGCTGTCCTTGCTGCTCTTAGCAGCCAAAACCCAGGTGCCATTACCGTTGCAAATACAGTATTTGGATCAAAGCCTGACATCCCTGCTGATGTTCTTGCAAAGGCTTTCCAAGTGGATAGCAACGTAGTCTTCAATTTGCAGGCAAAGTTTTAGAGTTCCATTTGGAAGGATCACCGATTCAATTGAAAGGGATCCGACTTACAGTTCATTGATGTTTGCAATATACTGTTTAGAAAATTGTAAAGGTTTACTTATCAGTACAGTGAGCATGTTAGTCTACTATTTTGTAATTTTTGTTATTTTAAGAACAAGGGAGTACTGTAATTGTGTTTGATTCTCATACTTCAAGAGGATAATTGACTTCTCCTCGTATAGAAATATAATCAAAGCTGGTCTATTTTGCTTTATTTGTTGAACAAGAATCATGGACAGTACTTCTAGCTCATGAAAATAATTTTTTAAGTTGACTTGTTATGTAAACAAACGAATTTTTATTACAAATAAAATAGACGATTAAGCGATTAGCTCCTTGGTGTAGGACATTTGAGTCTACGGCAGAAAGTAGCTAGGGAGGCCTTTCCTCCAAAAGTTTCGAAATCTACCCAGTTTCAACCTTTCCGGAACTCCATATATGCATGAAAATCCTTTAAGCAATTGAAAGCTAGTTTCCGAACCAGAAATGTCTCTTAAAATGCTGACAGATTTGCTTTCTGTGAACTTCAATATATATCATTACTAAACACATGTAGGCTTTTCCTTCTTTTGTGGCTATAGTTTAAGAAATCTGCCCTCCTTTTTTGATATTCATGTTTTTAACTAGAAATGGTTGAGCTTGTTTATAAAGAAGGGTTAAGCTAGGCAACAAATACAACTTTTGTTCCAAAAAAAAAAAAAAAAAAAAAAAAAAACAAATACAATTTGGATCAATATACAAATATCGATCATCTCGTTGGCAAAACTTCTCCTCTTTGTTTTCACTATATAGAGGAAGTACATATAAAATTTGATGGTTTAAGCTGTTACTTAGTACTACGGTATAACGGTATTCTTCTTCACTTGTAAGTCATAAGTCTTAGGTTCGAATCTTGTAGATAGGATTTAGTAAGGATAATGCTAGGGAGACCAAAATTTTAAACAAATGACGTGTAACCAATAGGAAATAAGAACATTAACTAACACGTAAATATCAATCCAACCATCAACCATCACATCATTTGGTTTACAAATTTAGTCTAAAAATTTGGTCTCCCTAGTATTATCCATTTAATAGTATTTCATGTACTTTGATTATCTAAGAGTCATCATAAGTATTTGGTAAGCTAATTGGTTTCATGCATCACATTAATTTGGTTGATGAGTTCAATGTATGGGATGGGGGTAAAGCCTATAATTCATTGTAAGCTTAGATTTGTCAGGACAGTTTTTGGATGTTAAGTAAAAGTAAGAGTTTATTCTCTTCCATTCTATCAACTTGAGATTTCAGTAAGAATCAATAAGGCATAGATTTCGTTTATTCTTGACTATTTTCGTCTCAACAAGAAATAAGGATTTATTGTAATGAAAATAGGGATATACACTACCTAACGAATTTAGACAAGGCTGAAGCCATGTCTGCTGCTACAAGACCAGGTCAGACTGGATGGATGCGTCTACTTATTAGATTATGATCTGCAGGCTAGATTAATGGACATTTTGGATGTCTGATATACTTAGCTTATCTGCATAGCGCGGAATGGTCTATGATTTCATTAAAGACGAAATGAATAGTAATTTAAGTAGTAGGTGGTTCCAACATATCATAAAATAATTGTCGGTATCAGATCGCATATTCAATATAGAGGAGTTTAACAATTTTTAAAGTTTCATGCCTTTGTCTGCAAATTACATCTTATTGATTATATATGTCCCCATTTACTCCACACTTTATCTTAGTTTGATCAAGTCAAAGCAAGACAACCCGCTTTCAAACCAAAGTTTCTTGAAGACGAAAAAGAACCTCCAATATCATGAATTGTCAATATTCTGTTTAATGCTTCCAGCCGCATATAGAATAGAATATTAACCATGTTGATAGAATATGATTGTCAGAATATGTATCAATCTATACACTCTATTAATTAGAGAAAAAGCAGAGTAATGTAGATGCTAATTAGAGTTTTTATAAATTTTATTCTAGATAGCGAATTCAAATTTGTGAGTAATATGATATTTCTTTATCAAATTTGACCAGGGAAGTAATTTCTGTTACATTGTTTTTGTGTACCTGGAACACTGTCACGCGATGCTATAATTCCATTCAAATTGTAACACTTGTATTTTATGATTACATTAATACAGCTTAAAAATGGAGCATATTAACTATTTCGTTTATTCAAATGATAACACGTGAAAAAGTACACGCGGCAAGTGTTTCAGCTATGACATAAAAATTTCTCGACATAAAGAGAGGAAACCTTCCTCAATGCCAGCATGCCCAGCAACAATGCCGGCACCTGAACAATAAAGTTAATCAGATAAGTGATGACATATACATGCACAAGTAGCAGCTTCCTATGAAAAGCTTGTATTACGCGTTTACAAATTAAGACTAGACTTTTTCAGTTCATAGGAAACAATACATGTGTGCAGGGATACTTCTCCCTATAAAAGCAGAGACACAGATAGGGTTTCAATCCACAATTCAAATTTATTCTCACTTTCACAAAGCTTAAACAAAGTTGGTCAATCTCTCTCTGCTTACTGTCTTGATCAAATGGCCTCTCAGTTTCTATTTTTCGCATCCCTTGCTGTAACCTTTTCCGTTGCTTTGGCATCGGACCCAAGTTCTCTTCAGGATTTCTGCGTGGCTGATGCAACGAGCTCAGGTAGCTCAAATTGTCTTTTCGTATATTTTCCGTACATTTCCCAAAAAATAAATGCATGCATCATATATATCAATTGGCAATTATGTATGTTGCTAATGCTAATGTACTTTTTCATCGTGGTTTCAGTACTGGTTAATGGTCGTGTTTGCAAGGACCCTAAGCTTGTTGAAGCCAACGATTTCTTCTTCAGTGGACTTCACCTAGCAGGCAACACATCAAATGCAGTTGGTTCACGTGTGACTCCAGTTAGTGTAGCCCAAATTGGAGGACTTAATACCCTTGGCATCTCTGTTGCGCGTATTGATTTTGCCCCATGGGGTCTTAACCCTCCACATACACACCCTAGAGCTACTGAAATTTTGACAGTCCTGGAAGGGAGCCTCAAAGTTGGTTTTGTCACCTCCAACCCCGAAAACAACCTCATCACCAAGGTGCTTCAGAAGGGTGATGTTTTTGTGTTCCCAGTAGGTCTTGTGCATTTCCAGCAGAATGTTGGACATGGTAATGCAGTTGCCATTGTAGCTCTCAACAGCCAAAATCCAGGTGTCATTACCATTGCAAATGCTGTATTTGGATCAAAACCTGATATCCCTGCTGATATTCTTGCAAAGGCTTTCCAAGTGGATACGAACGCGATCTACGGTCTTCAGTCCAAGTTTTAGAATATATTCCGATTTGGAACTTCTGATTCTATCAAAGAATTTCATAGTTCATTTAAAGTGTCTTTAGAAAATTGTTACAGTTTGTTTTTCATCGCATGTCATGTTGGTCTATTGTTTTGTTTAATTCAGAAGATAATTTGTCTATGTTCATTGGAAACGTGATCAAGTTGTTACTTTGTTTCATAATTCTATTATAAAAGTGGAAGTTCCATATGTTGAGTAAAACATCAGTGATTATCTTCATATTCTACACTTTTCAGTCTTAATTTTAGACTCCATAATCTTGAACCAACTATAATGTTATGAGGTATATGTAACCAGATAAATTATTTAGTTTAATTTGCTTGACCTGTTACATGATAATTTATTCATGCCCAATTAGCGTTGTACTCCAAGTTGATATGTTGTTTTGTTTGATTATTTTCCTTACATTTTGTGGCCTGGTCTTGTAGTGTTGAACTTTTTACTGCTATTTTAGGCCTTTTCTCTATTGTATTCTGCTTGTTTTAGCCTTTCGCTCGTTCATTGTTCAGTTCAATACTCAACGTGAAGTCCCCAATAACAGTAGCTACCAGCCTGCTACGCTTGGGATTCAATTCAGCATTGCTTCGATTTATTATTCTCCAGAAGAAAACATAATAACAAGGGAGACTTTGGATGCAGTCCTTAGTTATGAATATTCTTTTATTGAAACTTTGTTGATTTTTAATTTTTGATCAAGGTCTTTGAAATTAATGTGATAATTTATTTCTATATACATTACTATATTTGTTAAATTAAAAATTAGAAAGTTTAATTGTTTATATAAATGAGATTTTAAATTAAAACTAAACCATAATTTGTGGGATTAAAAATATTAAAATATAAATATATACTAGTGTGTGTGTATATAAACATGGGTACATTCATCAAAATTAACCAAAAAATTAATTGTATCAAAACATGGGTACATTCTTCAAAATCACAAAAAAAAAAGAAAGAAGAGATATTAGGCTTAATAACATTAGTAAATTTCTTCTATTAAACTTGACATGGATACATTTTAAAATCAAAGAAAAAAGAATGTACCCATATAAGTTTAAAAATGGATTGGAAAAAAATTGAATAGATTTTATATAAAATATTGTACATTTTACATATAACAAATCGGTATATTTAAGAATGAGTACATTTTAAGATTTAAAAATTTTACATGAATGGGTACATATAATTAGCATGGGTACATTTAGCAAAATAAAAAGTATAAATAAAAAAAATATATATATGGGTACATGTGACATTCCACATCGCCCAGGGGAGTGATCCTTATATGTATATTCTTATCCCTACCTAGCACGACGCCTTTTGGGAGCTCACTGGCTTCGGGTTCCATGGAAACTCCAAAGTTGAGCGCACGCGAGAGCAATCCCATGATGGGTGACCCACTGGGAAGTTGCTCGTGAGTTCCCAAAAACAAAATCGTGAGGGAATGGTAAGCCCAAAGCGGACAATATCGTGCTACGATGGAGTTGGGCCTGGGAAGTGGTCTCGCCCGGGCCGGGATGTGACAAATTGGTGTTAAAGCCTAACCCTGGCCGCGATGTGCCGACGAGGACATTGGACCCCTAAGGGGGGTGGATTGTGACATCCTACATCGCCCAGGGAAGTGATCCTTAAATGTATATTCTCATCCTTACCTAGCACGAGGCATTTTGGGAGCTCACTGGCTTCGGGTTCCATAAGAACTCCGAAGTTAAGCGAGTAGTGCGCGAGAGCATTTCCATGATGGGTGACCCCTCGGGAAGCTCTCGTGTGAATTCCCAAAAACAAAACCGTGAGGGAATGGTAAACCCAAAACGGACAAAATCGTGCTACGGTGGTGGAGCATGCCCCAGAAGTGGTCCTGCCCGGGCCAGGATGTGACAGTACAAATACAAACAAACTTTAAAAAATATGGGCACAAAAGAAATTAATATATGGGTACAAATTAAAACTGAAATGAAAATTGGTACAAATTAAAAATGGGTACAAACTAAAACTAAAAATATATGATAAAAAAATTTAGTCATAAATTTAAATATTCTAATTGTAACATTTTTAACATTAAATGAATATATTTAGAAATAAAAAAATATTTTATTATTGAAATAATTAATGATGTTATTAATACCCAAGGACCTTGTCAAAAATTGAAAATGAATAGGATTTTAATCAATGGAGTAGCAAAAGGAAGGATGAGAACCTAATTTCTCCTAATAACAATAATAGAAGCCAACTCAATGACTATTGGAACGGAAAATTTTGGGTGTTTCTATTCTCCTCCAACAAGTAATTTTGAACACGTTGAGAAGCTTTAGACATTATCTTCGCTTGTCTTCAATGAGAGCATAGGGGCGGGGGACCTGCAAGAAAACACTTTGACGCTCAAGTTTGTGTTTGTTCAAGACGCTTGTAAAATATAGAACAATCTCATACCTCCCTCTTCTTCCCCTGTTATGGTGGAATTCTAGGCCTTTTATAGGCGTGAAGTCTTGGGCTCCAAGTCCCACTTTCCTTCTATTTCTCCATGTTCCATGGAGTGGGCATTATGTCTTATACAAGATTAAAAATTGATTTTAGTCCTTAGACTCTATTTAATATCTCTTTTTTTTTTTTATTTATGATTGTATGATGTTCATAAATTAAATTGCATGAAAATATTATAAATTTTAATTCTCATTATGATAAGTATCTTATATAAGAAAATATTTTCGTAGAAATTTTTTAGTATACTTATATTTTTGCATATTTTATTATGTGCCACTAATCCATTACAATATATTTAGGCATAAATATTTTGATACACTAGGTTAATATAATAAGTTTAGGTATGGACATTTCAGTATACTAGTTTAATATAATATATTTAGGTACCGATATTTCGGTACACTAGCTAGTATCATATATTTAGGTACGAAATTTTCAGTACTGCTATGTTTTTGCATATTTTCTTATGTACCACTAATTCACTACAATATATTTAGGTACAGACATTTCGGTACACTAATTTGGTAAAATATATTATGATACGGACGTTTAGGTACACTAATTAGAGGAAGTTAAATAAAATTAATGAATTAAAATGTATATAATAATAAATTTAAAATTTAATGTAATGATATTAAATAAGATATCTATTAAATATTAAAACAAAAATACAATATGAAATTGAATTAAGTACACATTAAGGGACTAAAATCAATATCCAATCCAACACCAGTTTTTTTTTAATTTTAATCTTCTTCAAGGATTAAAGTTCAAAAACCCACTTCATTTAAAACAAAAAGAATATTAATCTAAGTACTAGGTGGTTCCAAAATATCATCATAAAATAATAGTAATCCAAGTTTAACATTTTTTTAAGGTTTACTTTTGCATACAAATTACATGTCTCCATCTACTCTTGATTTTATTTTAAAATAATGTTACATAGACTATCTATTTAAACCATATTTTATAAATCATACGATGTATTCTCTAAAACTCTTAATTTGTTTTAGCCAAAGCAAGACGACTAACTTTTAAACTAAAATTTGCTTGAAAACAAAAAGACACCTCCAATATATGAATCGTCCATAATATTCTATTTAATGCTTGCAGCTGCATATAGAATAATAAAATACATTAACCATATTGATAAAATAAGATTGTCTGAGTAAAATACATGTATATAATTGTTTGAAATATATATTCTTTTTGTTAGAGAACGAGAAGTGAAATAGGTGTTAATTAGTAGTGTGACATCCCACATCGTCCAGGGGAGTGATCCTTAAATGTATATTCCTATCTCTACCTAGCACGAGGCCTTTTGGGAGCTCACTAGCTTCGGGTTCCGTAGGAACTCCGAAGTTAAGCTAGAATGGGGCTAGAGCAATCCCATGATGGGTGACCCACTGGGAAGTTGCTCGTGAGTTCCCAAAAACAAAACCGTGAGGGAATGGTAAGCCCAAAGCGGACAATATCGTGCTACGGTGGTGGAGCGGGCCCAAGAAGTGATCCCGCCCGGGCCGGGATGTGACAATTTGGTATCAGAGCCTAACCCTGATCACGTGTGTGCCGACGAGGACGTCGGACCCTAAGGGGGGTGGATTGTGACATCCCACATCGCCCAGGGGAGTGATCCTTAAATGTATATTCCCATCTCTACCTAGCACGAGGCCTTTTGGGAGCTCACTGGCTTCGGGTTCCGTAGGAACTTCGAAATTAAGCGAGAATGGGGCTAGAGCAATCCCATGATGGGTGACTCACTGGGAAGTTGCTCGTGAGTTCCCAAAAACAAAACCGTGAGGGAATGGTAAGCCCAAAGCGGACAATATCGTGCTACGGTGGTGGAGCGGACCCGTGAAGTGATCCCGCCCAGGCCGGGATGTGACAAGTAGGGTTTTGGTTTTGTTTCTGGGAACTCACAAAAGAATTTTTCAATGGATCACTCATCCTAGGATTGCTCTCGTCCAAACTCGCTTAACTTCGAAATTTCGATAGAATCTGAAGCTAATAAGTTCCCAAAAAGCCTCGTTTTATATGGAGGTAGACGTGTACATATAAGGCACATCATCTCCTATTTGTTAGTCGACGTGGGATGTTACATTTTATTCCTAGAAATCCAATTCAAATGCTAGAGAAAGGAAACATTCCTCGATGCCAGCAGGCCCAGCACCAATGCCGGCACCTGAAAAATAAAGTATATCAGATACGTGATGACGTATACACAAGCAGCACCTTCCCATGAAAAATTTGTACAATACGCGGTTACAAATTGTGACTGGACTTCTTCAATTCATAGGAAACAACATATGCAGAGATACTTCTCTCTATAAAAGCAGAGACATAGGTAGGGTTTCAATCCACAGTTCCAACTTATTCTCGCTTACAAAATTTAAACCAAGTTGGCCAATCTCTCCCTGCTTACTGCCTTGATCAAATGGCCTCTCAGCTTCTATTTTTCGCATTCCTTGCCGTAACTTCTTCCATTGCTTTGGCAT